CCCCATGGCACTTATTCACCTCCCATGATCCAGGAGAGAGTCAGAAAGGAGATCAGGAATGAGACAGAGGTGCATCTGTAACCCGCACAGCTCCTGGGTTTGGTGTTCTGTCCCATCTAGTGGCACCAAGACCACTTAGAGAGAGAGATTAATGAGTCTGCTCATTAAAGGCCATATGGCTTTTAGCTCATGCAGTAGAGGCTCACACACTGGCCTCCAGAGGCCCCAGGTTCGATCCCGCCCACCGATGACCAGGGTCTGTCAGTGTTACACACGGGGCTAGGACATGACTGAATGGAGATTCTGCCCTCAAGCTGGAATGCACAGAATGCTGCATGGCCCTACCAGCAGTGATGCAATGTGGCCAAGTGGATAGACACCCAGGTCTCCTGACTCCATTCCCAGGTTGGCTATTGGCCAGCTGTGTGCCCTCAGGCAACTCACTTCACAGCTGTGTGCCTCAGTTTCCCCATCTGTAAAATGGGGCTAATGATGCTGACTCCTTTGTAAAGTGCTTTGTGATTAAAAACGCTATATAAGAGGTAGGTATTATATTATCATTGTTATTTCCCTGTCTGTGGTACCATGATGACCTACAGAGTTCACAGTGGGTGATCATTTTCAGCCAAAAATACATCTTCCCACGGGCACATGAAGTACCTGGAGCAGCTGTACGTTTCACATCGTTCCAGGAGATCTAAGATTTGCTTTTCCTCTCGCCCCGTGTAGCGGATCGAGCACTCACTGCCACAGTGGCTCCTGCTGGTCGTCTGGGAATTAGCTCATTCCAGCACTCGGAGCACCTCCTGCTCGTCGTGTCCCTCCCGGACCCCGGAGCCCCTTACCTTGGGGTGCTGCCCCACAGCACTGCCCCCACACTCTGGGTCTCCCTTCCTGGGGAACCCCCTCCCACTAGCCCCACCTTGCCTCAGTGGCTAGTGCCAGTCATCCTCTAGCCTCCATTCTCTGGGGCAAACTGCAGTCTGTAACGGCCACTTATAATTGGCAAGGGGGTTGGACTGGCTGCCTCTGCCAATCCCCAGGCTGCACCTCTGCAGCCCCAGTACCTCCTTAAGCCCTTAACAAGGCCTCAGCCTCGGGAGTTGCCAGGCTGGAGCTCCCCAGCTCCTCTTGCCCTTCCCCAACTCTGCCCAGGGTACCCTGTGCTTCCAGGCAGCCAGGTCCTTCCCACTCCAAGGCTGGAGTGAGACTCTCTCCAAAGCTAGAGAGAGAGACTGCCTGCCTTCTGGCCCAGCAGCTCTTTTATAGGGCCCAGCCGGGCCCTGATTGGCTGCCTCTCTGCCTTCTCTTATTGGCTCTCAGCCCCAGCCCTCTCCAAGGGCTGGCTTTTAACCCTTTCAGGGACGGAGTAGGGTGACCGCCCCGCTACACCCCAGTATAAATCAGGAGTGCCTCTATTGAAGTTAGTGCAGTCACACCAGTGTAAAACCAGAGTGAGTGGAGAATCAGGCCCTAGAGCTGGTTAACTAGTACAGGAAGAGATTCACAAATATTTTCACATAAACAGTGAGTTCACCACCACAGTTACTGGTGGGGTCATAGTGTTCGTTGTTCAAGTATTCATACAACTGTTTTTGTTTGTGAGAATGGTCACGAATCCTAAAAGTTTCATGATTTTATCACAAATCCCAACCTTCATGTCTGAAAGTTTGTATAATTTACTCCCTATTCACCTGTTTAAAAATTTCAGTCAGCCAATGGTGGATCAGATACAATAACGTGACTTAAGTGACCAATCAGGGTCAGTTCATGAACAGTTTTCAAGCAGAAAAAAGGCCTACTTTTGTCTGATGAACTGTCCATGAAAAGGAGTCAGTGCACAACCAGCCAGAATGGGTCCATTAGCTAGGCAGTGCTACAAGTTCCTAGACATGAAACTACAGCTAAAGTCTTACATTAGCTGTAGGTTCTTCAGAGCAGGGACTGTATCTTCCTATGTGTTTGTACATCACACAGCACAATGCAGCCTCGATCTCCCTCTGGATGCTACCAGAATAAATAATCATGTCTGATGGATGGTGCAGGGGGAAGGTGTGAGACTCATAGACTCATAGACTTTAAGGTCAGAAGGGACCATTATGATCATCTAGTCTGACCTCCCGCATGATGCGGGCCACAAAGCCGTCCCAACCCCTTTCCCTTGACTCTGCTGTTGAAGTCCCCAAATCCTGTGGTTTAGAGACTTCAAGTAGCAGAGAATCCTCCAGCTAGCGACCGCCGTTCCATGCTGCGGAGGAAGGCGAAAAACCTCCAGGGCCTCTGCCAATCTACCCTGGAGGAAAATTCATGAGACATGTTTCCCTATAGTTTCTACCCTCTGCTGACTCAGTAAGGAGCTGCCCTGAGTAGGCCAAGAGTGAACTCTCCCCATCCTCAGCAGCGAGAGGTTGCAGAGATATAGGAACGATAAGGAAAAAGGAGGGGTAGGTGATAACTAGATGCTGCTCCCTGAGCTTAGGCTGTCAGCTGATTCCCTGTATCACATGGAGAGTTAGAGCATGCCAAAGGTTGCTGATCCCTGCCCTAAGGTGTCGGCCTGTACTGGTTCAAAGTGGGTTTTCCAGAGACTCAAACGAAGAAAAGGTTTTTGATGTAAAAAGCTGAGCTTGGGCTAACACAGGCCCTTCATTTCGCTTCAGCAAATGGACAGGACCCTCTGTCCAAAGTGGGAGCCAGCACTTGCAGAAGGATTGGAAGGGGATGTTGGGTCCCATAAGGAAGATGGGCGACTTCTGGCATGTTTGTTAGTAAGCGCATAGGAACCTTATTGTCTTTATGTTTTCTCTGTGATACTTATTTTGTCCTTAAAATGTAGTCTGCTGAGAGAGAGCTGGGTGGTAACTTGTAATGGCTGGCACTGCACTGTTCATAGCCCTCTGGGAGAAAGCACAACACAGGGGCTGGCCTGTAGGTAGACTGGTTTGCTGGGGATATCACAATGTAAGGCAGGGGGCCGTGCAGCCTTAATACCCCCCAGAAAGAAGGGAGTGGGACAAGGGTCCCTGTCAGAGACAGGTGATGGCTGGAGGCTGGAGACCTGACTGGGCACTCCTAGAGCGGACCATGGAGAGGAAATACAGGTGCACGTAGGTGTATGTTTATGACAGATTGTGATATGGAGACGCTCCCTCATAAGGGACTGTGTTGTGTGGGAATTTGGAGATGTGCCCTAGAAGGGGACCGGGGTCTTGGGAACCCAGGACTCTGTGCAGCAGTTCACTAGAGAGACACTCTGGTGTGTTTTATTAAAGCTTTATTCCTTTCTCATTCATTGGTTTATCATTTAATGAACCCCAAGATTGTTACAGTGCAGTTCCCTGAAACACTGACAGAGATCTCTAGGTTCAAGGAGAGTCAGTGATGGTCCCTCTAGCCTGCTCCCCCGGGGGCTGGAGCTGTCAGGAGATGCCCCTGTTGAAGGGTCACCGACTCGCAGCTGTAACTCCCTCCATTCCAGCGACAGAGATGGTCAGTCCCAGTAGTGCCTGTGTAGCAGGCTCTCTGTGCGCTACTGGCCGGGGCTGGGAAAGCACAAATCTAGGCCCTAGAGTGCTGTTGATGCCCAGCAATGGAATTTCATGTGTTCATAACCAAATTGTAGGGCTGGGACGGCTTGCTTAAATACATGGGTGATGACAGCGCTTTGGGAGCAGGGAGGGGTTTCCCATACTAGAGCCAGTAGCAGAGTGGACACCAAGGCTGATATGGTCTGAATGTGCTCTAGGAATCGCTGTGCAACTGACTCAGCCTGCGTGAGAAGGTGGTGAGGGATGGCCCAAAGCAGAGACATGGTTGAGTCTGACATGGTGCTGATCCCCAGCCAGCATATGGTGGGATGGTTGAGCCCAGGAGAATCAGAAATCAACAGAGAAATCAATATAAACCTGTGAGATTGATTTCCATGCAGCCTGGAATGCCCAGGAATTGGATTCCCCCTAATGCCCCGGCTCCCAGGCAAGACAGCACCATCACTAGTAACAGTAAGGCCTAAATAGAGAGCAGTAAACTTAGAGGAAAATACCCCGCAGCAGAGATAGTTAACATAGTGCCCCGTACTTGCCAGGCCTAGGGGCTGCCCCACCTCACCAGCAATCAGATCACCTCAGAGCCCTTGATCTTTGTGTCTGGTCAGTGACTCCGGGCAACTCAACCTACTTTTTGCAGGAGCCCTTATCAGTTTGGCAAAACAATCTGGAGTTTGCAGGGGAAAGGAGCTGGAAGCAAAGCCATGCACTCCACTGGGAAACAGGATGTCAACCCAAATCCCGGATCAGTTGTGGTACACTATGAAGAGCATTGGGTAGTGGGGAAAAGTGAGAGAGTGCAATGGGATGGGGAAGATGTACTTAATTAATCAGTGGGGTATCCCAAGGGAAATCATTCCCTGTCCTTGTTATACATACCCAGAGGAAATCATGCCTTGTCTCCAACTTCTCCCCAAACTGCTGGGGCACATCCGCTCACCCCCTGCTCTTGGCCCACCCCAACCCCCTGGGGAAATGTGTCAAAGCAAATCCAAAATTGGGGAATTGCACTGAAAAGTGAAAAGTTTCAACACAAGACCCCAAAGTTTCAGGGATTGGTGGGTGTGTTTACTGCAGAATATGAGAGGGACCACTTCCGTATTAGATCATGCAGGTTCATGTCAGTCCAGCATGTAAACACACATGTAAAACATACACGGAATCCCCATACAAGTTACACATATTTGTGTACTGTGGGCTGTGAGCTGGATCTGCGAGCTAGGGGGAATCCCCTACCTTCTACTTCCTCCGGGCTATGGAGGGGGTTAGACTAATGAAGAAAGATGCAGAGAGCAGGGGACATCTCCTTTCCCTTCACCCACCCCAGCCCTATAATGACTCTGATGGGCTGTTTGTTGTGCCTGAACCTGTGATTCTTTCCCCAAATTAGGGGGATGCCCTGGTATCATTAGGAAGAGGAGCATCCAGTTCCAAACTGGGTCCCACTTGACTCACCAGATCCTTGGAGGTGCCCAGCCTCTTCAAGCCATCCAGGGGCAGCAGGTCAGCAGAATCCTTGTGCACAAACTGGGTGGCCTGTTTCAGGCGCCTCTTCTGTTGCAGGATGGCTTTATCCCGCAGCTCCACTTCGCGCTGCCTCCTGTCCGGATTCTGAGTGCCTTCGCTCCGCTTTTCCTCCCCATCCCTTGGCCCCACTTCCTGGGCGCAGGTCTCCCTCGTGCTCATGGTGAAGAGTCCAGCTGGGCAGGTCTTTCTTGGGATAGCAGAGCGCTCTCTGGGCTCCCTCTCTGTGCCTGTCTGCCCTCCTGTGACTCACTCGGGATCTCTGCTCTCCCTTGCTCCTTCTCTCATCTGTCTCAGCTATAACTGCCCCATCACTGTAGTACCTCGGCGCCCTTCTCTCTTTCTGGCTTTCCCCCTGTGCCAAGCTCCTTTCCTCCCTCCCTTCTCCTGCCCTGACTGCAGCTCTGCCTCCTCCACCCGGTGGGTTCCTGCTGTAGCAGAAAAAGCCCCACGTCAGAAATCAATTTCCATAAATTGCAGCAGAGACGGTAAGATGCTTCGGCTGGAAAAATCCAGCAGCAGAAGGATGGCCCTGCTGCTGGGGGTTGGACTCACCTTCCTCCTGCTTTGTCTGTGTGTGTGCACACACACTGTCCTGTTCCCCACTGGTACGCCACAGAGATTGTAAATCTTTCTGTGGCAGGCAGGCTGTGCTGCTCGGTGTCTCTGCCGGGGTTTTTGACGCATCTCAGTAAGTCTATTAATACTGGAGAGAACATACTTTGCTCTAGGAGATGATGCATTGCCTCCGTAAATGGGGGAGAGCTTTAGCCTCCAGGGTTCTGGCAGGCATGCCTAATCTCTCTCATTTGGATGGAGAGTCACACAATTGGGACAGTTTTTAAACCCGGCGCTGAAGGATTTTACTCTGCGTTTCCAATGAGACACAGAAGGCCTGCTTTTTCACTCTCACTGGTGTGACTGCATTGGGCCTGATTCTGATCTCACTGGAGTACCTCCACTGAAGTCAGTGCAGTTGTATACATGTAAAATCAGAGTGAGTTCAGTGCAGCTACTCCTGACTTACACCAGCATGAGATCTGAATCTTTTTTTTTAATTTCACCTGCTGAAATTGTTGCCGTTTGAGAGACTTGCTCCAGGCCCTGGTGCAAGGGGCTGGGGACACTGCAAGTTTTACCCCTTCCTCTGTCCTTCCATCTCTGCTTTGAATTGTCAGCTGAAGTCTGGGCTGTTTTGGTCCCACTGTATTGGCAAATGTAATGCACTGAGAGTCACAGAGTGCATGATTCTAATTTCACATACACATGAGCAAATCAGGAGTATTTCTATTGCAGTCAACAGCATTACATCCGTGTAAAACTGGTGTGAAGGAGAGTAGAATTAGGCTCTAGACATTTAATTGTATAAGGTCAAATCCTAGGGGCCCTCCTCCGGCAATCCCACAAAGAATGTACCGGACAGACTCTTCTTTTACACTGTTGAAA